CCCCCCCATCTCTCTGATCTGCTACAACCGTATGTCCCACCACGCTCCCTGAGGTCAGCGGACCAGTTGCTCCTCACAGTTCCAGGAACTCGTCTTAAGCACAGAGGTGACAGGGCCTTCTCTGTAGCAGGACCAAGACTTTGGAATGAGTTACCTCTGCTTGTCAGACAGGCCCCTCCCTCTCGGTTTTCAAGTCCCGTTTAAAAACTCACTACTATTCAGAAGCTTTCAACACCAGATGATCTGTGTTTGATCCTGTATGCTCCACACTGGTTTGTCGTCATTATCTGCATCGTTTTTATGTCTATATTCTGATTTACCTCATTTTGTATTTTGCTTTGTGTGTTACCTGTTGTTCTGTCTGTACAGCACTTTGGTTGGCCTTGTAGCTGTTTTAAGTGCTTTATAAATAAAGTGGTATGGTATCTCACTCTGTCCTCTCTCCAACTACCTCCATGTCCTCTCTAACTGCATCCATCTATCTCCTCTTTGTCTTTTTCCTGGAAGCTGCGTTTCTAACATCCTTCTACCAATATACCCACTGTCCCTCCTCTGGACATGTCCAAACCACTGTCTCTCCTCTGGACATGTACAAACCATCTCAGTGTGTCCTCTCTAACTTTATCTCCCAGTTGTTCAACCTGTGCTGTACCTCTGATGATCTCATTCCTGATCTTCTCCATCCTTGTCTCTCCTAAGAAGAAGCTCAACATCTTCATTTCTGCTACTTCCAGTTCTGTCTCCTGTCTTTTTGTCCATGTCTCTGTCTCCAGACCATACAACATAGCTGGTCTCACCACTGTCTTGTAAACTTTTCCTTTGACCTTTGCTGACACCCTTTTGTCACAAATCACTCCTGAAACTTTTCTATGTAAATGCCAGAGGGGGGGGGGTTGGTAGGCGGGGTGCTCAGTTCTGTTGACGGGGTGGGGCACCCCGCTTGTACAATGGTAGGGGAAACACTGCTCTTCTTTCAAGTACATACCTCCACCTCTCCGAGTTCTCTTCTACCTGTTCTCTGTTCTCACCACAGATCATGATGTCATCTGCAAACATCATCATCCACCGTGATTCCTGCCTGACCTCATCTGTTAGACAGTCCATCACCAAGCAAAGAAGAAGGGGCTCAGAGCTGATCCTTGATGCACTCCCACCTCCATCTTGAAGCTATCTGTCACTCCTACAGCACGTGTCTCACCACTGTCCTGCTGTCCTCATACAAGTCCTGCTGTCCTCGGACCCTCACTAATCTTTCCCACTTCCTGGTCCACAGTTTCTATGACCTCTACTCTTCTTTCTCTTTCATTCTCTTCATTCATTAGCTCCTCAAAGTTCTCCTTCCATCTTCTTGTCACACTCTCCTCACTCGTTAGAACATTACCATTCCAATCTTTAACAAGCCTAACCTGCTGCACATCCTTTCCAGCCTGATCTCTCTGTCTTGCCAATCAGTACAAGTCCTTCTCACCCTCTTTAGGGTCCAGCCTCCCATACAGCTCATCATACACCTTCTGCTTTGCCTTAGCTACTTCCCTCTTTGCTCTGCATTGCATCTCCTTACATTCCTGTTCCCTCTCTTCAGTCTCAGTCATATTTCTTCTTGACTAACCTCTTTCTTTGAATCAATCATGCTGGTTCAAGCCACCTCGTTCGTTCTGGTCCTTAATCTCCCAATAATTGGACTTGAACTCAGATTATCTTTGCGCTGCTTATAAGAACAGGTGTAGCCATGTTGCCATCATCTGCGATATCTCTTGGTAAATGTGCTCATTTCTTGTGGAACTGTCCAGCTCATGCTGAATCCTAACATCAGATGATAAAGTTCGGAAGGACTGTACCTCATCATTGGTCCACGCCAATATTTTTGGAGCTTCCATAACAGAAACTAGAAAAAAACAACATAATCAGAGAGGAAGTGAAGGTTCTGATGTAGTTTGTAGTTGAGCTGGGTCATCCAGTGACGTAGCTCCGCTGGCCAATCAATGACTGCCGTCTGCTTACGTCTAAATCAGCCCCTCGGAGCAGTTCGCTTGGAACCACGAATTCGGTGGTTCCATAAACCGAGCTGAGTGGGGTGATACTGGCAGTGGGCGGGCCTTAACTGGTGTGGTGTGGGGTGGAGCCAATGAGAGTTGAGATGGTGGCAAAGCACCAAACGTGTTGATGAGAGGCCAGTGAGCGGTCAGGATGACATGCTGGGCTCTAACTGGGCCGTTGGTTCTGTTCTTTCTGAGCCGTTCTGTTGTTGGTTAGCTGCTGTGTTTGGGATCATGGTCCTGTTGGACCCAGTTGCTGTTAGACATATGGACTCACATTTGGTCCACAGGTTGTTTTGTTTTTTTTACCTTGGCCACTTTCCTCCAGTTGAGACAGTCAAAGAAGTAGTAGGTCCCTCTTTCGTAGGCGTTGGTCTTCAGCGTGGGCTCCATCCCAGGGGCCCGGGTGATCCAGACCCGCTCCTCTTTATGGTACCGCCAGTCCCTGTTAAAACTGCACACAGGGATTAGTTCAGTCCCAAACGGTGAACATGAGGAGGGTTCAGGAGGCCAGCGGTCGTGTCTTACAGTTCTACTGCAGCTAGCAGTTGTAGCAGGTCTCCTCCGTTCATGTAGTAGAGGTAAAACAGCAGATCTTCTCCGTACCGACCCAACTTGATGGCTGCCAACTGCACGCAGAAAACATGTTCAACAGCAACGAGAAGATGTGACGGCCGCACCGCGTTTCTTTAGAAAACACATTTAATCAACGTCCTTCAAACAGAATATTTTGGTGCTTCTGCAGCTCCGTACCTTGTCCCTTATGTGGATGTTGGTGAGATATTCTGAGGGGACGTGGAAGTCTGCAGAGAGACATTATCAACAAAAACAACGTTACTGACTACATTTAATCTGCAGTTCTGAACTTTGAGTGAGAAGAACTCCACAAAGAGCTGAAATACAACAAAGACGAGAGGAATTGATACACTGAATAATTTAAATATTAAATATTTGTTGTGATTTCTGCAGGTTTTTAGTCTGAAGCAAAAACTTTTTTAAAAAAGCTGTAAATTTTAGTTAACTCAAATGTTAATGTTCATGTCATTCTAAAATGTAAACTCTATTTTAAATATCTAAAGACTTGCTTAATTGTAATCATTTGTTTAATTCTTTATTTAAACAAGAGTTGCACCTCAGTGTTTTCATTTCATTAAACATTAAATGTCCCACAGAAGAAACGTTTTGTCTTTTATTTGTATTTTTAAATGTTCCTTTAAATAACGCGTTCATTTTACTGAAATAAAAGAGTTAACGTCTGCTCAGACCCTGTGGGGTCACGAGTTGGCTGCAGTTGGGTTTAGATTTTTAAAAATATGCTTAAAAAAGAGAAAGTAAAAGTTTGAAAAGACGTGTCGGGTGTTCTCGCACACGTCGCCCTGCCGGGACGTCTGCGTTCGTACTCACCGATGTCCTGCGGCCGACACGGCGCCGACGCCCACGGAGACGCAAACTTTGGGTAAAGATTCCTGACAGAAAAACAAAAACAACGTGTTTACATCCACGGGAAGTTCTGACCGTCACACTCAGACAGAAACAGGCATTTACATGATCGCCCGCCTGGTCTGAACTTTTCTTTTAATTGAAGCGTTTTAATGAGAAAACTAGAGGTGCACCGACTGAATAAAGGTTGAGGAAACACGGACGCATTTACGTCATGAAATTAGAATATCATGATATAATTTATTTTCCTGCGCAAGTTATTTTTATTTTTTATACCGGTATTATCGTGAACGATACGATGAGCCACATCTACACTTTCATCAAGATGGCCACCACAGACCTGGTTTAACAAAGAACACCGACGAGGTACAAACAACAATCATATGAAATGAAAAGTAAAAAGAGGAAATGAAACAAAAACAGTTACATTATAAGGCGATTAAAAAAACTAAACCCAGGAACGTGTCTGCGTTGGTTTGTGCCATGAACTCCACTTTAAACAGATGTTTCAAGTCCTTTAGAGGTCGAGAGCTTCAGATCTGGTTGCATATTGAGTTTTATTTGGAGTGGTAGTAGCTGAGAGTCATCCCCAACACAGACTCTGAGCTCCAACTGAGCAGGTGAGATTTTAACACCTGGGCGTGAAGGAGGCGGGTGACAAGCATTCCTTCATCAAATGCTACTTTTGTTTCTACCTGTAGACGGAGCAGCTTGTTTTAACTTCTTGTTCCTAAACGTTAGAAAGATGCTGATTCTGTTCACGTCCTGTGTGTGTGTGTGTGTGTGTGTGTGTGTGTGTGTGAGTGTGTGTGTGTGAGGGCGGCCCGTACTCCGGTGAGTTGAGGTTGAGGCCGAGCGTGGTCAGGTCCGAGCCCAGCGCCAGGTGGACCATGCCGGGGTCCGTCTCCGCCGCCCGGATGAACGTCAACAAGCCGATCATTCCGAACTGGTCCGTTACCATGCCGACGGGGATGTTGGTAACCCGGCCTGCACAAACAGGAAGTAAACAAACCGATGACAAATGGACCGGAATAAAGCTCAAAGCTCTGACGATTTATTCCACTAATCTCCTGGTTTGTTCTGTAACTTTATGATCACATGAAGAACAACTAGAAGATTTCTGCTTGGGTCCAAAACTCCAACAGAACTTGGACGAACTGTACGAGTTTGTTTGGATTCTCACCGTCAGGAAGAACCTGAATCCCTTTCTTCGACTGGTTGTTGTTGCTCGGAGCTGAGCTCTTATCGCCCGGAAACTTTGGGCCGTCCGAGCTCGACGAGGTCTTTCCTGATGAGTTCAAGTTCTGACCCGACACCGGCGACAGGAAACACAAAGTCAGACATGTCTACATGTTTGACGACTATATAAAATAAATTTTATATATAATATAAAAAAGACAAGATAACACAACTAAAGTCTTCATTTACTAAAAACATAGTGAGCAGACAGACGAGTGCTGTGAACGCTGAGAGCTGAAATTTTCTAAAGAAGCTGAAACTGAGTTGTCAAAAACAAGAAAAGCTAAAAGACCAGCTTAAAGCAGCAAAAGGTCGGCTAAGACCTAAAATGAACAAAATGTTATTAAAAACAGCTAAATGCTATAAAAGAAAAGTAGTGAAACGTTAGGTAAAGCAGAATTAGCATTAGCACTAAACAAATTAAAATTATAGCAGTACTTGAAACAACCAGGCACTTGTAGCATTAGCTGTAGTGATGTTAGCAGTAGTGATGTTAGCAGTAGTGATGTTAGCAGT